ATGAGTACTGTTTGAATAAGTTCGTGAAAGTCCTTTTTAATTATGAGCTTGTGCGAAATTTTCTTGTGCATAAGGGCCAGCACACCGCCTCCCACCCTAGCGCCTTCACGATCGCATCTGTATACTTCATAGGTTGAGTCAAGACTTAGTACGGCGTCATGGACAAGGTGTGGTTTACACCAACTTTCGGTAATGAAGAGACCACTCAAATTTTGCTGCAGTAGATAGTTGAGGTCGGGGATCTTATTCACAATTGATCGTGCATTGAAAAGTAGGAAAGTATGTTGAACTCCCTGTATACGGTTTTGGTTGGTTGAATTATTGGTGAGATGCGCGTAGTAGGTCGAATTTGCTGGACCTGATTCCTAGCGGGACGCGGACACGACAGAAGGTGAAGGAGCTGGTCCTAGATCTACGCCTCGACTCGAAAGCAAGTCTAGCTGATTGGTTGAGGATTCTGTGGCAACTTTTTTAGCCGGCAACTCACGTGGAGTTCGAAGCTTATGAATGGCGAAATCGCGGACGACATATAAAAGCTTACCTTCCTGACTGTTCAAAATTCCGGCCTTCTTCCTGAGCGATCTGTCATATTCGATCTCCTCTCGGGTGTAGTCAGGCCTCGCGTACGAATGCACAAATTCTCTCGTCATCGACTGGCGCCCCGCTCTCATGTGTTCTAATAGCCTGTCTCTGAGTTGTTGATCGCCTAGAGTTATCTTAATGATACGAGGTCTACGAATCTTCATGTTGCCTCTGATTGGAGGATGTCTATTAATTTCTACCTTACCGCTGTTGAATTCTCTGAGGAGGTCATCGTCTCCTGAGGAATCGATGACCTCTTTGACGGCTTCCCTGTCAAACGCCCGGGTGGACTCCTCGGTTTCTTTTTCGCCGATGCCCACCCAGGTTATTCTGCACGCTTTGGCATCAACAATTTTCGAGTCTTTTTTGAACTTCACTAGTGCACTGTAAAATGCAGAATTGGGACGAGACGTCTCCTCGTCCATGGCCAGTTTGTTTTCTATAACGTTGAGCTTATTTAGTATAATAGATTGCGTTTCCTGCATTTTCATAAAAAGCTCAAAGATCTTATCGAAACGCTTAAAGTATTCATCCCACCTCTTTAATACCGGCTCGAGCCATGCCGGTTCATCGCTGGATGGATTTCGTTTTGGTGGCATGGTGGTAGAGAGCGAAACTTCTGAGCGGCCGCACACGAGGTCAGTAGTAGCGGGAATGAGGTCAGTAGTAGCGGGAATGAGGAGGTCAGTAGTAGCGAGAATGAGGAACCAGATATTGTATTATATTTATCCATCAATGTTTCTAATTAATATATCTGTTTCATAATATTAACAAATTTCAAACTCCCACGAAAAGGGCAGAAATTTGGTGTTTTCTTGGCTACTTCTATGGCTTCTGAGATAGAACTAAATTTTCTCTGGATTTCTGGAATTTTCAGATCTTATACAAAGTTCTTTCGATAGGTCTGATCTTGCTTAAATATTGTCTGAAAAAGAAGAAGAAAGCAAAGAAAACTCCCGATTCACGCCCCAATAAGGACCTCCTCTATTTCAGCCGCATTCCACCTTGGGATAGAGAAGGGGCGTGTTGGACGAGTTTCACGCTAGCTCCAGTTGCTCCAGTGCCAATGACATTGAACCGCAATGCAACCGCTGCCGCAACTGCGCCCGCGCCTTTCTCGCAGCGTGACCTGGCGGCCGACAGTGGAAGCAACCCTGCGTTGCGCAGTTCTCAACGGCCACGTTGCGCAGTTTCGCCCGATTAGACACGTTCTCTCGCGCGAACATTCACACTCGCATGCTCGAGCCGTCTGCGTCTCCGCCCATACAGCGTGCGTTGAGGATCTCTCAACGTGCCGTTGCGAACTGCGCAACGCAGGGTTGACTCTGGTGGAAGGCCTTGCGGACGAGGGTGTGGATAGCGAGTCGAGCAAGCTACTGGCATCTTTGTCGCGCACTTTCGAGCTACAAAATAGGCACGACCTTGTCCGCCTGTTTACTACGTAGGGAGATGGATGAGGTCAGCGAACCTAATCTCGAATCGTACTTTTGATACAGGAGTCACTTTTTATGTGCCGTGGGACAAAACTTTTCACCTAAAGTGACCAAATTTTACTTCACCCTAAATAGAACTATTGGTTCATACCTGAAGGCGAGACAAAAATTTTCAACCGGTCGAGCTAGCCTAACTTATACACCCTTCTGTGCTATTTTAACTATTCTTAGGGATAATGGAACCGTAGTGAATTTTCGACATTCGCTTCAGTGATGCCGATTCTTTCCCACCTCTTGCATCAATTTTTTGAAAAACATCTTAAGAGTTAAAAACAGAGCAGCTCGCTTTTCCAACTTCTCCTATTCACTTGATTATTTTTGAGATTCGACGCCCATTCTACTTTCATTTGTATTTGGGAGGCAGCAAATAATAAATAAAAATCAAATCGCTAAAAATTCATTAAATTGTGAATTCAAGGGTATTGTTGACCGGATGATAAGAAATGCCAACACAAAACTGATGTTGGGCACGTCGTCATGGCGTGAACAATTCATCGATGCGCTGACCGTTGGTGCTGGTAAATTTCATATGTCTCCGAGATTTTACCCGCCTTTTGTTCACTAACGTGAAATGATTGCAGATGATGACGACGGTGATGATGAAGAGGGAGAAGAAGGAAGTGATGAATCAGAGAAGGAGCCACCAAGCTTTGGTGACTACGTCATGCACTTCCTGACAATGCCCTGGAAGTTGATATTCGCCACAATCCCTCCAACTGGTTGGTGCTTCGCATCACGTATTTCTTGAAAACCAAGGAAATTTTCATCATCACCTCCTTCACTTGGTCGATTTTTGCGTCTTGCGGCAGGTATAATGGACCTGCTTGGAGACCAAAGTTGTACCTAGGGTATGGACGGGGTGCTCTGGGGGAGACGTCCAGTTCTCCTTCAGGAATCAGGTCACCGATTCGAATCCCAAGGTTAAGCTTGGGTATAGGATTAGGCTTAAGCTTATGCTTAAGCCCATCATTGGACCTAGGCTTATCGTTAATCCTGAGCTTGCTTCGAACAAATGAGTGGTGTCTCAGTTTTGGGTGACCTGGACTAGGAGGAGAACTGCAAAAGCTCCGCGACTATCGCCGTTTCGAAAATTTTTCGAAATAGGGCTTGTTGTAATGGCGATTTCGGGGCAGTTGGAGTTGCCGTATTATGGTGCGGAAACAACAGGTAGTCAGTGGACAGAGAGGAGGATCATAAGAGGACCCACTAAACACAGAGATGTGGGGTGATGGTGGGATTTGGGAAAGGTGGGAAAAGGGAGGGCATATTACTTGGAAGTTGTCGGTAGGACGTAAGCAAACCAGCCCTTTTGGCGTCTTCGGCTGGGACCGTATGCTGAATGTTGGGGAGGGGATGGGGTCCCCAACGGTCGACGGTTTACTTCAACTCGGTTGGTACGATAGGAGAGTACTGACGCAAGTGGTGCAGCTGGTCCAGCAGCTCCGCCAGAAGGGCTGGTTTGCTCACCCCAGGACTAAGCCTTGGAGGGGACGGACCCGTCCTCCTCTTTTAAGGCTTAGTTCTGAGGTGAGCACCAAATTGTGGCGGTTCTAAGGACCGAGTTGAAGTGGTCCGTCCACCGTCGGGGACTCCATCCCCTCCCCAACATTCAGCATACGGTCCCAGCCGAAAGCGCCAAAAGGGCCTGGTTGTTTTGCCACGTCAAGTTGTAGAGGTCGTGTTTGATGTTTTTGTGACGAAAACAAAAAAACGAAAACTTAACGAAAGAAGCGTAAAATGATGGAAATTAGTATGTTCACAAGCATAGTGCATTAAAAAGTAGGCAAAGTTGTGGTGTCGACTGGTCTCATCGTCAGAATCAAATACTATAGAGACAGCGATGGTGGTGTAGGGTCGTGTCGAGGCTCCTCTGGAGCGGGGGGGGGGGGGTCGTGAAATTTTTGAGAAAGTACGATAGCTACGGTTGACTCTGTGTCACTCTGGGGGAGGAGGCTCGCCTATATGTGCGGTTCGAGCTTTGGAGATGAAACTTCTTCACCCTCTTCAATCCTCGGGATTTACATAGAATTATGGTTGAGGGATGGGAAGGATACAATGATGATTTTGTTTTCAGAGCGAATGAAAAATAGATTTTTTAATCATTTTGTGACTGTTCCAGATTATTGGGGAGGTTGGGCGTGTTTCGTCGTCTCGATCTTCATGATCGGCGTCCTGACAGCAGTCATCGGTGATTTGGCGTCACAGTTTGGTTGCTGGGTCGGCCTCAAGGATTCCGTCACTGCCATTTCATTCGTCGCTCTCGGAACCTCTGTACCCGGTTCGTGAGTTGCTCTTTTCAAGACTTCAAAAAGGAGAACTCATTTTTGAAATTTGTAAACACTGCTTGAGATTGTTAGTGATTAATTTACTGTGCTTCACTTGTTAGCGTATTATTGAGAATCAAAGAAGCAGCTCAATTCGGCCAACAATCCTGAAGAAAAAATTTAGCGAAGGGAATATTCAAAACCTTAAGAAACGGAGCTGTTAATTTGCCCGGTGATTTTGAGCTTCTAAACCTGAGGCGAAGAATAGCCACCTGGTTTGCTCAGATCAAGGGCTTCAATTCGAGCCAAAAAAAACCCACGAGCTTTCGATGGGAATTGTATAGAGGAGGCTTCCTAAAGGATTGATCTTTCCTGCGTGCTCATGTACTTGCATTGCTGAAAAAGCTTGAGACTGAATGTGAGCTCAAAAATCACCGATGTTTAGATACATTCGCGTCAAAGGTGTCCGCTGTACAGGACAAATATGCTGATAATTCCATCGGTAATGTGACCGGATCAAACGCAGTCAACGTATTCCTTGGTATCGGAATCGCTTGGTCCATGGCAGCCATCTATCACTTCTTCAATGGAACGAAGTCAGTGATTTCTCCTCTTTTTTGGAAACCTTTAGTGTTATCTGACAGGCTCCGATCTTTGTGTTAGGTTCATTCAAAGTGATCTCGCTTGCGGCTAGGTTTTTATTCAAGAAATCTGTGGTTCAGTGCTAATGATTTGATTTAAGGTTCCTTGTCGACCCTGGAAACCTCGGTTTCTCCGTATTGGTGTTCTGTTTGGAGGCGTGCGCCTGCATCACAGTCATCGTACTAAGGAGAGGGAAACTCGTTGGTGGAGAGCTTGGAGGCCCTATAAAATTCAGGGTACGCTTCTATATTCTTGATTACCTTCACCATATTTTCAGCATGTTCAGTTGACCGTTTCAAGGGCCTATTCCACTATTAGTATGAGTGGAGTTAATGTAGTCTAACCTAAGGGCCTACTAATTGTCAGATTAATAATTGCGGAGCGCCCTTTTTCAAAGGAGGGGGGGAGGCGCTAGTCAGGACCAGTAGGTAGCTTCACAACAAACGTTGTGCACATTACTAAGTATAAACAAGACTTCTAAGGGTTCAAACACACCCTCTCTATAAGGCTGCGTTTATACTCAGCACATTGCCAGCTGAAGGTCGCAACCGAGGGTGATAGTGATGGTGAATAAAAGTAAGGAATCAAGGCGATGCGGCGAAGAAATATACGGCGCTCTTTTTCGTACTTATTTTCTTTTGATCTCCGTGCGATCTCAACGCGCTGAGGGGGGGGGGGCGCACCTTTCGCATATGAATCGATTCGTCGCAAAGTCTGAACGCACTCCAAGCGAAAAATGTCACAGTCGCATTCGGTTCCATCGTCTCGTAGAATGACGGAAGATATTGCTGAAGCTGTTTCCACAAACAGCAAACTCATACCGAATGTCTAAGCGAAACATGGAAGTAGTGTCTCGTAGAGGAGATGACGTAAGCTGGAGAATGTTGACCAAATAACCATTTCATGCACAGTTCCCACTGAGGTATGGATCATTCGGGCACGTAGCCGTCATGCCGTCGCAGTTTTAATGACCTGACACCAACAGTAGGGCCAACTTTCGAAGGAAAAATTTTGAAATTGAACAACCCTCTGGAGGGGTCTCCAAGACGATGGCATTCATAATGTCGTTGAACCTGGCTCATCTCGACACAAGTACGTCTCCGTACGGGCCCTAGGTTTTTTGAAAATTCTCCATCTTTTACAGAAAATGTTCCATATTTCCAGAAAGCTGCTTTTCCCATGTTTCTTCCTTTTTTCGAAAATACGACACTTTTTCCAAATTTGATCCCCATCCATAGAATTACAAAATACGGTCCTCCTCAAGGGAAAATCTCGATGTTGGGAAAATCACAAAATATTCGTGCTGATTTCCAACATGCTCATTTAGATTGTGACATCTGCGTTCTTCGTCGGTCTGTGGTTGTTATACCTGACCCTATCCGCACTCGAAGCATACTGTATGCTTCATGGGTAACCCTGTCCCACATTCTCCACGCCTCCTTCACAACTATCTTGAACCTGGTTCTGTGGGAATCGCTTTCGTCCTCACTATACCTCTTCAACACCGGAACGCGAAATTACAGTAATGTTTGAACGTTTATAATCCAGGAGGCGATGGGTTTCGTATTTGCGCCAATACCGCATTTCTAAAATGCTCTCATTCAGATTTTAACATCGACGTTCTTCATCTGCCTATGGTTTTTATACCTGAGCTTATCAGCGCTCGAAGCCTACTGCATAGTTAAAGGTTTTTAGTTAATAATTAGTGATTAGTCTCTAGTCAAGTGCACGAGTTACGCTGGAGCCGAAACGAGGTGGTTTTCCCCGACGGCGGGCTCACGAACTCCATTCTATTCTCTTCCATTCTGTTTCGCTTATCACAATGTATGTGAAGTGTCTTACTTTGACCGCAATTTCAGTCCGATTTCTTTGTTCTCTTCTAGGATGAATAGGAATCCTTTATGTACGAGTACTCTGATCCGTGCAAATGATTGCTCTATTCGTACGTAAATTCTTTTTTTGTCGAATATTTTAATATTGTTGGTCACTGCAATGGTGCCTTTAGAGTTATCCAGAGATTAATCATATATTTGTTGAAGATTTTTATGTATGTTTCTATAGTTGTGGTTCAGAACGCAGATCACAGCGTCCATCGTCGTTTCATACGTTGCACATGTCTGCCCGCTTCACTTGAAATGCAAGAATCTCCAGAACACCTCGGTAGGCTCCCCACTTCCTCTACTCCACGAAATCTCTGCCTTTCAAAGGAAGCGGGTGAAACTACTATGCTGTTCTGAAAATCGTGTATGTTGTTGTACCATTTGTTCGGTGCTTACTGATATCACGGACAGACCCACACACACCACACACATATTGTACCCAAAAACTCGCCACTAGGACCTTTATAATCAAGCCTTTCCTCCTTTTGTAATGTAGCTCCTAATGAGCAGATATCATTTCCCTCAGTTCAGTTCCTCAAACATCATGTTTTTGTTGTTATACAAACATTACACGAACTTCTATCTCGCCTTTGCGTTTTAATTGTGATCAAGATGTATTCAATAAATATGACTTTTCGTTTCGGTAAACGATCACAAGACTTTCAAGCCAGTACTGATAACTCTGACCAGGGGCCAAACATTATCGTACCCTCCTGATAGATGGACGGTTCTTGGAAGTAGGGATCTGGAACGAACCAGAGAGCCTACTGGTTTCCCCACTCTTTCCCATCAGCATTAATTTATCGCGTTGCCGAAAAGGACGTATTCACGATTAGAATGAAGGTCGAAGAAGGAGTAATTCACCTAGTTGAGGGACCCGCGGACCTCCTAAGGGTGCGGACTGAAGCGCAATTGGCACCGAAAGGAGTTGACCTCGGCGACCTATTAAGGCTCAATCTTGGCGCGGTGGGCCAGTGCACGCCCACCGATCATCTGATCACTCGCCGCAGGTCTATACGTGGCGAGTGATTAGATAGCTGAGAGAGCGTAGTGTTGAAGAGGGCACAGCGATGAGAGTCGCATCAATGCTCAAATCAACGGGCAAGGAAGGGGTCCCATTTCTCGGGTTCTGGGCCGTTTCTCATGGTTCTTCCTTCTTTCGTGTACCACTCACCATCCCTAGGTTAATTTGAAATGGGTTGCTTTTTCATCGTGAATTCGTCCTTTAAAGGCACTTTGGATGGATTCTTCTGATTCTCATTTTCTTCAACCAAACAAGTAAAACCTTAAATTTGCCAAGATCCATAAAAATGGATAGAATGAGATTATTAGGAGAGAGTCTCTCAACGGTTTGGTATAAAACCCCGTATTCTCCCTCCCTAGAGGAACCATTGTATGGGTAGCTCTGAAGGGGACTCAATAACATGCTTCAGGCGCACACAATGGGCCTTTCCGGGTCAAACCAGTGCGATGTTCGTGTTCAGGATCTCTGACTGCGATTCATTGCGAAAGATAAGCGGATACTTGCATTCTACCTGTTTCATGGCCACCATGCGTCAAAAGATAATTTGTGCTGTCGAGAACATACATATGAAGTACGTCCCCCTTCTGTTGTTGAAAGGGGAACAAACAAAAAAAAAGAGGAAGGGTTAAAAGTAATGAGACGAGACCCCAAACCGTCGGCCACGTGGTCAGACTGCCAAAAGGTCGGATCACGAGCCTGCCGTTTAGGTTGCTGTGCCCTACATTTAGGGCCATAGACAGCATCTTATGTCGAATGACCTATTTCTCTGCCGCGTCATCCCGAGTTTGCCGATCGCAGCTCACTGAAATGATCGCTGTCCCCTTGGCACGATGGCCGCCGTTGGACTTCGAACCGTGACAATATGTAGAGGCCTTCACAAAACGACACCGCCTTCGCTAAGCAAGTTCAGTCTTTCTTACCTCCACCTTCACTCAGCTCATTATGAGAGAGAATTTTTGGCACTATTTATCCTTTACTGCCCTGCCCCACTACCTGAAACTAAGCCAGATTTTCATGGAAACTTGTCAGTTAGTATGGAGTTGACCAAAAGTTGTCCCTGGCTGAAGTCTTTATACCCAGTAACATGAACACTCGAATTTCATGTTATTGAAAATTTCGCTTGCGCCTTCGTCAATTAGTTGTCTTTGGTACAAAAGGGCCGGACACCCTTATGGGGGGCCCGCCCCCCCCCCGCCCTCTCTGTCTGGGGCCCCCGGCTGGCTGGCTACGATTTTGCTGAAAGTCATTCGTTCAGAGGTAGTTTTTAGACCCGTTTGAAGATGAATATCGCATTAGTTTGTCGCAGATGAGCCTAAAGCCTGCACTACGAGCGCTGGGGTCAAACTGGTGTGGTGGCGCTGGTGTCAGGCATTTTCGCGCTGAACTGACGTGATATTCGTGTTCTAAGGGTTGAATTACCTCTGGGGCAACCTTCTTGCTGAATCCTTATTCGTGGACAAATTTCGAATAAAGTACGGTTAGGTTCTGAGGAGGGGGGAAGCAAAGGGTAACAAGTGCCAATTTTCTTTAATTAAAAAGCTGCCTTTCCTGACTGCCTTGGAAGTGTTGGTCGTTCCCTATCCGCTTTTTGGTGGTCGTCACTTTCACTGATTCTGCTTATGGCCCAGGACCACCCTCGCATGCGGAATTATTTGATATTTCCAGAAAACAAGCATCCATAGCGCAATATCATTCATCCAAAACCGTTGACAAAATATGCCTATTTTAGCGGAACTCCAGTAAGTACCAGGTGACTCCTGCAAATTATGTAGCATCTAGCGCACTATGTTCAGACTGCTGTAGTTAACCACTTCCTATGGATGGTATTAAGTGTGAGAAACTGAGTAGATGAAGCTGAGCCTGAAACACGTATTTTGCTCCTGGTTCCCTATCAGCAGATTAAGCCTTAGACTAAGTATTTGTCAGAAATAGGTTACTCAGAATTCGTTTTCATTCTTGTACTCTTCGGCTATTTGCGTAGATCAATCAGCTATACACGTTTGGATTGAATCATTCCGCTGATTTGATCTGAGATTTCTGATCCAAAGAACTTCCTGCCGCGCGTAGCCTCTCTGGTCACCAACACTCATCAACCGGTCGCTTTAAATTGAGTATTTTTAGAATTATGTAAATTTATTGCATATTAGATAATGATTACGAATACACAACTCCCGCATCCCAATCGTGGAACAAAGCCAACACCCGGTAGTGATGCTAGTATTGCAAGCCGCACTCTGTAGAAGTGCTGTGGGTCTGATCGGGGCATCTGTTCTATCGAGTTTTCGTCGGCTTCCACTGCTTCAAAATCTGTGTCGTCATATGTAGTAGTCCTCTAGTTTCACTTCCGCACCCTGGGGGCTCTCAGAATATTGGAGATTGGAATCTCCAACACTGTCGTGGAACCCCGCGTAGTTCTCCTGACTTATTCGGCTGCGCTGGTACCAATTAGCCACAATCATTCCGTATGTCCGTCTGACGTAGTCCTCGCAGCTTATTTTATACAATGCAGGTGGGAACACCGATAATCAAACTAAAGCGGGATACCAAGTCACTCGCACAATCTACTGGAAAGTGTGAGAGTCTATTTTTTAAAAATTTACCGTTTTGGAGCTGCGACACGGCCGCAATGACCAGTGGTGAGGTGGGCAGATGTGCCTTGTTTGAATGAATCTTGCGCGGAAAATTCTTGCATCTCTTCCTATACCATGATATGTTCAGTCTCTGTCCGATAACGATCTCAAGCCCAGTGATTATCGCGCATGAATACGCAACATCGAATTTTTTCCAGCGCAAAATTCCTTTAATTTATCCAAAGTCACATTTCGCTTTGGCTGTGACGATTTGTTATCCAGGCGTGCCAATATGGCTATCTCTTCCCCGAAGGCTAGATGGGATTCAAAGTTTCCTTTTACGATTATTTGCTCTGAACGAGATGGATGTTTCTTCATTTTCAAATGAATGTGTTGAAAATCGAAGAAAACTTTCGCATCATTGCCCTCTTACCTGCAATTAGATCAACATTCAAAGGAACTTTCTCCCATGACGCAGAGTCAACCCTGCGTTGCGCAGTTCGCAACGGCACGTTGAGAGATCCTCAACGCACGCTGTATGGGCGGAGACACAGACGGCTCGAGCATGCGAGTGTGAATGTTCGCGCGAGAGAACGTGTCTAATCGGGCGAAACTGCGCAACGTGGCCGTTGAAGAACTGCGCAACGCAGGGTTGGACTGCTGCCCCTGACCCCTTCGGAGAGGATAGCGTACGGCCCCGGAGTAAAAAGTATAGCATTCCTATATGTGCACAACTCCGCCATCAAACGGGCACTCCACAGTCGCCCACCGCCGCGGTGCATGGCATGTTCGCGCCATAGTGGAAACTCGAACATCCATGCTTTTCATGCCAAGTCCATTACTCCCAACGATCTCTATCGGACGCACTTTGAACTGCAAGTCCTTTGCCAACAGCTTGAGGTATGCGAACATGCGACCCCCGACGAGCCACATTGCGCCAGAGAAAGAAAGAGAGTAAGAGGTTGTAGAAGATTCTCAGCGGTGCGGAGCTCATTTCCTTCCGAACAAGCGCACGAGCAAGCGCAGCCTACGGTAAGACGGAGTTTCTGCAATTACGGCAGCACGCGCGTAAATGACGACATGGAGAATTTCCTTCTTCACTGATTCCATAAATTTTAAAAGTTTTGAACTGATGTGATTATCCGGTAGGCTTTTCTACACATTAACTGTTATTTTTTAAGCAGCAATATTAATGCGTATATGTTCTGTTTCCAGTTCGATTGTTCTGATACGGATATTGTGTCAGTCTCTGGCCATGTCCATCGGAGCAGCGCAAAATAGTCAAAGCAGCTTAGATAGTACCATCAATACTCTCAAAAGATGTCTTCAAATCGCTCATGGAGGTGGAGCTCCTCAATCGTGCCCGTCCAATAACCAGGTCGGTTTTCAAGGGTTAGGCAGTTTCCGGTTGTTGCTTGAAGTTTTATATCGGTTGGATTCGCTGTGATGTAAATTTTGAGGAGAGGTGTCAGCATCCAAGAACTCTGTGTGGTTGTCACGAAAATATGAATGAGAGAAGATTCCGCGCATTGATTCCTCACATGTTCGAGACTTTTTTCGCACAGAGTAATTTCCTCTCTTCCCTAGGTCACTGTTCCTCCAGGGCACTTAAGTCATAGGACCCTTTCATCTTCCTTTAGAGTTGGAGCCAAGGCAAGCATCGTTCTTCGCTCTCTGTAATTTCCGCTGTTTGTGGCAAGATCATAGAAGAAAGTTCAAGTAACCTGAAAACCAAGTCATGAGCCGCTGCTTAGGCGGCGAGAGAGCGCAGGCGGAAGCATCAAATTGCGCGGCACCAGAGTTGAAGTAGTTCATAAATGGTGGAAAGAGAGGCAGATCACCTGAGAGTGCGGACCGACCCGCAATTCGCGGGAGAGGCTATGCCCCTGGAGGAGCGTCTCCACGACGCTTATCACCGCGGGCACGCTTGGTCATTTTAACTGTGTCAGAGTCCGACGATGCCGTCGCAGGTTGTTTCTGGTGCCGATTTTCGCAATTTAGCGAACATATTTCGCCGATTTCCGCGATTGAAGCGGATATAACAGCTCGAATTCACGTGGGAATCACAAGGTAATCCATAAGTCGTGCGCGTCAATATGCAAAGGTGTTCTCCATTCTGCGCCATTTGATTGATAGTGAGGGGCTGAATGCGCGGGGACTGTCGATGACCACTTGTTACGTATTCAGTGTTCCAAATGTCCTAATGGGCAATTGCAATTTTTGCGATCCGTCGCAGGTGTCGCGCAAATCAGCGAAAGCTAAACCCGGACTGTGACACCAGCCTAATCGTGTAACAAAGAGAACGTTAGCGTTGAAGAGGGCAGCACCGATAAAGTCGCATCAATGCGAAATCAACGGGCGAGAAGGGGTCCCATTTCTCGGGTTTTGGGCCGTTTCTCATGGTTTTTTCTTCATCCGGCACCACTGACCACCTCTACATTAATTCTAATGGGCTGCCTTCTGATCGTAAGCTGTGCCTTCGAGCAGACCAAATGCGGGTTCCATTTTTTCCTCATATTTTCTTTATTTTTATAAACTGCTCGCATTCAGCATCCATCATCGTCCCAGCATCCTAGTGGAACTTGGTCACGAGATCAGCATATGTTTGGTTGCGATGAATCAAATCAAAGAAGCAACGAAAAAGCTCAAAATGTGATACTAGTGGATTATAAGGTGAGCACATACTCTTTTTGAGTGTTTTTAGTGGTATGATAATACTTCGTCATCACAAATGCTGTTTTGAAAAAAGACCGTATGGTGTGTTTCTCCAGCGGTTCTTGTTGAAAGACATCCCGTTTAGGTAAAACTAAGGGGAGCGGGAGGGGGCAGAGTATTCCAGGCATTGAAAATCAGCAAGCTCTTCATTTTCATACTCACTTGGTTCTCTTCTTGCTCATACACATTGATTCACCCACCCTGAGCTTCCTCCAACATAAAAAAATGAGATTCCTGTTGCCGGAACATACTGCTACGCCGCTATGCCATCATACTTACTACTTATTGCTTCGGAATCTCTTCTAGAGCGACAATCTCATCCTTCAACCTATTTTCTGTTGTCATCTGATTGAAATTAACTTTGACTTTCCACGACTCTTTTAGCCGTCGTCGTCGGAATACCAAATTAATCCTTGTGCAGTTTCCATATGTCCCTCCTTTAGACTCACAATCTTGAGGATTAATTGTTTAAGGATGAAACACAAATCGGGGATATCATGCGCCTTATAACAAAGGATCTCAGTGAACCTTACTCTATCTACACGTACAGGTATTTTATTCACAACTGGCCGGAGCTGTGCGTTCTGGTTCGTAATTCACTTTTTCCATTCGTTTTTTTTTATTTGCAGAGGAAGTTCTTTCGTGTCGATTATTGTCTACATTTGATCATTTAGGCTTACGACACACTCACAGATTCTTATGTCGGTGCAGTTGTTTGTAAGCTGGATAGAAATGCCGAAGGACGACGGAAAGGCTATTTAGCCATGCTTGCAATTGATGAGTCGTATAGAAAGTTAGGGCTCGGTTAGTTTGATATTTTTTGTTACATTGTGCAGTACGACAGCTTATTTGTTGTTTCTATTTCATCTTTGTCTTTGAGGCGCCTCTTTTTGGTCTCTTCTTTTGTGTCTTTTTCTCTTTTTGGTGCGCATATTGTTATATTGATCATGGAGGTTTCTTGACCGATCCTTGTACTACTGGATTGACTATTACGGGATAGTTTCCAAATATATTGAGCGATTGAGAGATGACCGAATGTGAACCCCGAGATGCTCGCTTTTTTGAAAAATATCGCCCGCGCATATTCAAACTAATGTAGGAGAGGGGAGCTTCTCTCATATTACTGGTGCTAAAGACACTCGCAATTCCGGCAGATTATCAGATTTTGAGTTTGTGGGAAAAACGATAACTAAAAAATGTTTTGTTTGTACAGGTTTACTAGTAGAAAGCGTATTTAAGTAACAGATTGATCATTTTGAAATGTGGCAAATTGGATAAAACCTTAGTTTCGCCTGTTTTTTGACAACAAATACACATCACTCTTGGTTTGTATCATAACACTAAATATGTATTCTGCGGGTCATTTTACCAAAGAAAATTAATGTCGGTGATCTCACTCCTTTCTGAATCTACACAGAAAGCATAGAAGGAAAACTAAGAATGGCTTTCCCGACTTGTTTTCTGCGGCAAGCTCTGGTTTCAGGGCACCTTCAACCTTTCCGCTGTGTAAGGCTGCTTTCATAGTCTGCGGTCCGTGCCGTCCGCGCCGTCCGCGCCGTCCGTGCGGACGGCTCGGACAGGGTGAAAAACGTCAACACGCGCTCGGCGCACAATGCGCACTTGGCGCGCAGTCGGCGCCTCCCTCGATCGATAATGCTAATTTCGACACATTTTTTCTGTATTTTGACGTTTTGTGCGCCGTTTTGCTTTTTCTTGCGGTTGCTTAGCCCAAAACTTTTCCTTTTTTGTATGGATTACTGCTTTTGCTCACTAATGAACCCACTTGGTGCTTATTGCCACTTTCAAACACAGTGTATGAACCTAACCATTCTAGGACAGTTGAAAAGCAGTGATTCACACAAAAAAGAAAATATGTTCTCGCAAAAAAAAAACAAGCAAAAGCCAGTCGACGCCTTCCAGTTTATAAATGCGATTTCATCACATTCTATTTGTGTTTTCCTGGTGCTCCTTGTGCCGTGTTGCTTCTCGTATTTTTTCGCGAGAACCTTTTCCTTTTTTGTGTGAATCACTGCTTTTCAACTGTCCTAGAATGGTTAGGTTCATACACTGTGTTTGAAAGTGGCAATAAACACCAAGTGGGTTCATTAGTGAGCAAAAGCAGTAATCCATACAAAAAAGGAAAAGTTTTGGGCTAAGCAACCGCAAGAAAAAGCAAAACGGCGCACAAAACGTCAAAATACAAAAAATGTGTCGAAATTAGCATTATCGATCGAGGGAGGCGCCGACTGCGCGCCAAGTGCGCATTGTGCGCCGGAGCGCGTGTTGACGTTTTTCACCCTGTCCGAGCCGTCCGCGCGGGCGGCGCGGACGGCGCGGACGGCACGGACCGCAGACTATGAAAGCAGCCTAAGAAGGCCTGTTATCCTTTAAAAATCTTTAGCGGTGTTTTCAAAAGCTTTTACCTGCCGATGACCTCATCAAGTGTAATAGATAGAAGGCTGACCCGAATTTCAACCAAGCTTTCATATGAACAATTTGTAATGGCCTTACTAGATGATGGTTTAACGCCGTATCGAGGGATAACTTTGTTTCTCAATTGACCTCTACCTTCTCAACTAGGAGCAAAATCGTTGTTTTTCTCTTTGCCTTTCATATACTTCGCTTTGTTTTCCCCTTTCATCCCAAGTTCAGTTGATAGAAAACCTATTGATTGGAGATGTTCCTTTATCGTAGGGATTGGATTTCGCTTTTATCTATTCAGGTACACGACTAGTGCGCCGTGCCATTGAGAGGATGCAAGCTCAAGGATGCGACGAAGTTGTGCTCGAGACGGAGGTGTCAAATGTGAATGCTCAACGTCTTTACAGCAATCTTGGATTTATTCGTGAGAAACGGCTGGTCAGGTGTGTTCAAGTTGTATATGACTAAGTTTTTTTTATCATTTATTACTGGAGGTATTTAATGTATTTGCATCATACCACTGTTGGATCTAACAAGAGAGGTCGTTCAGGGCAAGCCGCGCTTACTCGAAACGGTTTTCTGCATGTTATAGAAGCTTATGCGTAGACTATAGAACCAAGGTCCATTTTCGCTGAACGGCCCCGTGAAAGTGGTGAGAAAATGGTACAGGGATCAATCCCCTGTGGTGGCCAAATTTTTGCACCATGGTTGGAGCTTCCAAATTTCTTCCAAATAGCACCAATGTTAAAATTATGAATCATATTCATCATGAGGACCACCAGGAACCATTACACTCAGATCTCAATTGGAATATGGCGCTAAAAAGTTGAAACGCCAGAAGGGCGTCAAATGGTGCTGGGGTAAATTGGAGCCATCTGGATAAATGGATGTCATATTCGTGATCAGAGCATTAGATATTCCTTAAAGTAAAAAGTTTTAGAAAAAGATTGAGATTTTGAGCCAGTTCCGAAAAATTGGCTATCGACAGGTCGGTTAGTGGCCGATGGGGTGCTCCAGCCAGCGATCTGGAACTGAGTTTCCTCGTAATCTTCCTCCAATAAAACGAAATTAGCACTACAGAATAGGCAATGGAGATGCTCAAGCTGGTGATAGACCACAGGATCCGCATGAGTTGAAGTTGACAGATTCTTCTTTCCTTCAAGACGTGATATGTTGGGTCCTCCGCTCCTTCACCTGTAGGGGCTCATCTCCATAGATTTCAAGGACAGGGACGCGGTGGGAGATGTTGTCTATGAGATCGAGCTCTAGATTCCGTGAATCATCAGTGTTCCACTGATTTTCACGCAGCGCTCTTTCTCAAATCGCCCGCTGGCGTGCATGACGGCCCGTGGCCCATGGTTGCCTCCTTTTTCGAAGTTAGGTCAAAATCTCAATTTTCGTCGAAATTTCGCCTAGGGGTAAATCGGGTTGCTGATCATGAATATGACGTTCATTTTCTGGCATCAGCGCCACTTAGGCGCTACAGATTTGTTCTGCCAGTTTTTGATAGTAAACCCATTGGCAGGGGCTGCTGATGGTCCTGATTGTGAATATAGCGTTAAAATTGACGCTTAAGCAATTTAGCGCTCATTTGGAGGTGACAATCGAAAATGCAAATCACTGCCCTGAAGCGGAATCGAACCACAAAGTCCTTCCCTACCCCACTCCGCCAGACCACTGCGACTGATAGGGTGCCGATGATGCTTATGAAACCTCTTCCTTTTCTCGAGCACTACCACTGACAGTACTTCAATTTTTGGCGAATTTCACCTTGTTTTCAATACCATCTTGCTCAGCTCCCTATGCAGGTGATCTTCTGTACAAGTCCGAAACGTCACTCCAAAGCTGTAAAAACCGCCATTCTCAACAAATTTTTTCGACCCTTTTTTGGCCATCAGGGAACCGTTCAGCGAAAATGAAACATGGTTTTGTAGTCCACGCAGAGCCCCTACAGCATGCAAAAAACCGTTTTGAAAAAGCGCGGCTTGCCCCGAAAGACCTCCCTTGTAAGGGGATCCTGAGAAACTCTCGGCCAAACACTTCCTGTTCTCGAGCAGGATTTGCAAACAGCACCGATTTTGTTGCCTTCCCTGTAATGATTATGGATCCAAATTCGATATTTTCTATTTTATATAGAAGTTGGAACACTAAATAGAAATGGTTGAAAAAGTAACGGGATCGGAATTTTCGGTGGACAGTGTGCCGCTGCTGATGTTTTGAAGAAAACTGATTATAGTTTTTTCAAAACTACACATTTTCCACCCTGCACTACTCTCAAAGGAGTCTCATAACTTTGGCTCCTTTCTTGGAAAAATTGAAATATAGAGGTGGGCTCTTACAGTATTGTATTTTTCAGGTATTATCTAAATGGTGTTGACGCCTTCCGCCTGAAACTGTATTTCTCTCCACCGATAGCTTCTGCGATGAAGTCTTCTCTAGTTTGAATTCTCAGAGTTAAGAGATTACAAAAAAGACTTGTATCCATAAGAGAAGTGCAAGTATTTGTCCAACTAGTGTGAACTAGATTTGGAATATTTTGTAATGTCTTTTATCCTTCGCTTTGTTATTGATGTTATGACGTTGTTTAGAATTTAACACGATTTCTAATAAAAGAACTATGTATTCAAACTTTACGGTGCTTGATGCAATGACAGAGCTATTGGCGTGTTGGATTTCAATATGTTCATCTTTGATGGTATGGCCACGTTCTTCGCGGAAGTAATGATAGTATTCGCAAGATCGGCCTAACATAGATGTGCCGGAAGTAGCCTAAGGGTAGGGATGAAAATCGTGTCGAGGACGTGGTTGCAGAAGTACGACCCCCCCCCTGAAATCGGTCTTGGCACGACCCCCTAAAACAGAGCAATTCAATTCAATTAATTGATCAAAAAAAATTCCTGCAAAATAAGGTTGTAAACGAATTCTTTTGTCATCTATGCACTTTCTTTCATTGCTGCCGACTATTGTGTTTCAGCTGAAATATAGACTCGAAGAGAGAGGCATTAACCCCTTAACCCCCCCCCCCCTCCTTATCTACGGCTAACACGACTTACAGAAATGTTTACGGAGAGCTAATTCATATAG